CCGTTTATGGGATGTTAAGACAGGATAATAAAAAGCGAAATTAGATGGTCATTCAGAATTCAGTAATTCCAGTCAATTTCTTTCCTGATGGTACTACATTAGCATCGGGTAGTAAAGATAACTCTATCCGTTTATGGGAAGTTTAGATAGGATTATAAAAAAGCCAAATTAGATGGTCATTCATCATATGCAAAATCAGTCAATTTCTCTCCTGATGGTACTACATTAGCCTCTGGTAGTTTGGATAACTCTATTCGTTTATGGGATGTTAAGACAGGATAATAAAAAGCCTAATTAGATGGTCATACATAATAAGTTTATTCAGTCACTTTCTCATCTGATGGTACTACATTAGCATCTGGTAGTAATGATAACTCTATCCGTTTATGGGATGTTAAGACAGGATAATAAAAAGCCAAATTAGAAGGTCATACATAATAAGTTGAATCAGTCAATTTCTCTCCTGATTGTACTACGTTAGCATCTGGTAGTTATGATAACTCTATCCGTTTATGGGATATTACGACAGGATAATAAAATGCCAAAGTAGATTGTCATTCGCATTATATTTATTCAGTCAATTTCTCTCCTGATGGCACTACATTAGCATCTGGTAGTTATGATAAGTCTATCCGTTTATGGGATGTTAAGACAGGATAATAAAAAGCCAAATTAGATGGTCTTTCTGAGGCAGTTAGATCAGTCAATTTCTCTCCTGATGGTACGATATTAGCATCTGGTAGTAATGATAGGTTTATCCGTTTATGGGATGTTAAGACAGGATAATTAAAAGCCTAATTAGATGGTCATACATAATAAGTTTATTCAGTCACTTTCTCTTCTGATGGTACAACATTAGCATCAGGTAGTTATGATAAGTCTATCCGTTTATGGGATGTTGAGACAGGATAATAAAAAGCCAAATTAGATGGTCATTCAAGGGAAGTTTATTCAGTCGCTTTCTCTTCTGATGGTACTACATTAGCATCTGGTAGTTATGATAAATCTATCCGTTTATGGGATGTTAAGATAGGATAAGAAAAAGCCAAATTAGATGGTCATTCAAGGGAAGTTTATTCAGTCAATTTCTCTCCTGATGGCACTACATTAGCATCTGGTAGTTTGGATAACTCTATCCGTTTATGGGATGTTAAGACAGGATAATAAAAAGCCTAATTAGATGGTCATTTAAGTTATGTTTATTCAGTCAATTTCTCTCCTGATGGCACTACATTAGCATCTGGTAGTGCAGATAAATCTATCCGTTTATGGGATGTTGAGACAGGATAATAAATAGCAAAATTAGATGGTCATTCGCATTATGTTTATTCAGTCAATTTCTCTCCTGATGGTACTAGATTAGCATCTGGTAGTTTGGATAACTCTATCCGTTTATGGGATGTTACGATAGGATAATAAAAAGCCAAATTAGATGGTCATTCAAGTTGTGCTTATTCAGTCAATTTCTCTCCTGATGGTACTACATTAGCATCTGGTAGTTTGGATAACTCTATCCGTTTATGGGATGTAAAAACATCAAAGGAAATACTCCAATCAGATAGTAGCTACAAAAATCTGCTCGCACAGTTTAAAATACCACTTCAGAATAGCTCCTTATTGCCAAATGGTATTAAATATTAATTAACAATTAGTTCATCCTGATCGTACAATACTTAGAATTTGTTAGAATTCTTAGTTAGAAGCATCAGGAACACTTATCTTTTAAGGATAATTCATAAATCATTAAGGCATTGATTTAAAACCTTTATTAAAATCTAAAGGAAGTTGCTTTTTACAAGAGTTAAAGCAATAGTGACATTGAAATATTCATTAAGAACATTACAATTAAAATTTTAATCAATTTTTTATAATTTTTTGAATAGTCAGTTTTTCTAGTTTCATTTCTTGATCTTCATTTCCTAAGATAGATAATTACAATGTTTTCCAAAGAATTCTATTTTCAGCAAATGATATACCATTTTATTTTATTATTATTAAATTAAATTGTCAATTTAGTTTGTAGGGTTTATTTATTGAGATGTTTTAAGAAACTATTATCAATCATATTTTATCGTGGCTCACCATTTTAAGCATTAATGTATTATTTTAAATAAGCTCACAAACTAATTCAATTTTAAAAATACATTCGTTTTGAAATTAAGAAATTGCAAATAATTAGTAATGTTAGATTCATAGACAATATAAAATCTTATAAAGAAGGAAATATTTGTTGTCTCTAATAAATTGAGCAATAAATTATTAGTCTATATTAAGTGCATTAACAGTATTAATTATTAATGAGTAATGTGTGTG